TGCTGGCAAAAATTAATTGTTCAATGAGGGGGTCTTCCTCAGGGTTGTCGTTGATGGCTATGGTGTCCCGGGTTGGGAGCTTGTTTTTTGGGTTTTGGGCCGGGGTTCACCCTTGGGGCTACAGTTCATCACTTTAATTTCTTTTTGCCCCCAAGTGTTACCTTCTTCGTTTTTTTTTTGCAACCCTTGCGCATTTTTTCCCCTCGTTTTCAGTGGGACTTTTTTTGGGTCAAAATCTTTGATTCCTGCGATGAGGGGGGAGAGGGACCATTTTTATCCGTTCTTGGGGTAGTTGCGCATCCCTTAAATAACGACATGGTTAGCAGTTTCCTTTCCTTTCAGGAACTGCAAGCAGACATTGCCGACAAGAGTGGGGTTGCCCCAGCGGGAGGGCCTGGGGCTTCTAATTTGGGTGGAACCTCCATTCACCCGCTTAAGAAGGTCTGTGAATTTCCCCCTGCTGCTAGGGGCGACCATTTTAGGGATGGGGGTAGGTACTGCAGCAGGGGATTTGAATGCCAACAGAAGGTTACGCAAGTGACGGGGGTTGCCTTTGGGAGTTTCATCTGCCTGTGGGGCTGGGGGCGCTCTCTGCGGGGCTATGTATCCTGCACACCCATTGTGTGCACGAATGGGCCATCATTGTTGCGTGCTCAAACCTCCACACACCTGACGGGCCTTTCCTTTCTTTTTGGGTGCTTTTTTTCCCGGGCTTTGGGGCGGGCGGGCTTCATCACTCCCATCCCTAAAAACTGGGGGTAACCCCGGGCTAAAGGGAAAATGGCGCATGGCACATCCGCATTGTTCATGGTGGTGGTGGGGGGGGAGGAGGGGGACCCCCGTCCTTGTGGGGGGCGGTGGAGAAAGGGAGGATAAAAGATGGTGATGGGGCGGAGTGGGGCACTCACCCCTCCCGGGACAATCACTTACACCACAATGCCTGTGCACATTTTACTATAACCACAGCTCTGTGCGGGGCCACCCCTACCCCCCCCTTCCTTCCACTACAGACGATACCCCTTTGAAGTCATTCTTTTTCGCTCCATTTTTTTCACATGTCCGAACCACTCAACAACCTTCCTCACCCCCTTGGACAACATTTTTTTTGGAAACCCCCCCCTCCTTCAATTTCCAAACTACAATTCTCTGCATTATATTCACACCCACATTGCCCTCGGACATGACATCCCCACTCCCTCACCCCTTCTCCTCCTGAAAACATTCATCACCCATGTTTCACACCCATACAGGAGCTTTGGAAAAAATTTATACCTCATACATTTCCCTCTTTGCTTCCAAGGACAAAGTTCTTTGTCCCCACAGACCCCTAAGTGCACCGTCACCCTTTTCCCCTCATCAATTCATTATTCACCCATCTTTCATAGACCCATCCGCTGACACGCCCCTCCCAAATATCTGAATACTTTCACCTCCTCCATACCTCTCCCTCCAAATTTATACCAATTTTTCCCTCAAGAATCTTTTTGTTACCTCATAACCCTTTTTCTTTCCTGTATTCACTTTCAATTTTCTTCTTTTTCCACCCTACCAAATTCATCCCAACCCCTGCCCCCTTCTTTCGAATCACCCAAGACACAGTGTCATCAGCAAAGAGCACCTCTTGCCAAAACCCTCGCATTTACTTCTAATAATATTTTTATATAAATATATAATATATAATATATATATATTATTTATAAATATAATTATAATAATATATATATATAATATAATATATATTAAAAATGGACCCGTAATTGTTTTTTTCATGATGGGAGGTTGCTGGGGTTTTTTTTTTTCTGTTTCATAAAACCCAAGATTTCAGGTACGTTTTTCTACTTTTACTTTCACTTAGGTCACACTACACTTTAAGTACAAGCAAAAAATACACACCCCTTGGGTTTTTTGTCTATTTTTTATTATTTTTTGTTTATTTTTCCTTTTTTCTCCCTGGGGGAAATGGAAAAGGGAACTTCTCTGTAACCCTCCTTGTAAAGGGGACAAAAAGTGGACAAGGGTAGTAATCCCTTCTCCTGATATACTTTATAAAGTTTAAAAAGTGAAATTTTGTTTTAATTTTTAGCCACCCTCTTCTGGGGTACGGTCAGTTTGTTAAAGGAGAAATTAGATATAATGACTGATTTAGTGAGTGTGTTACATGGGTTTTTAAACACGCAGCAAAGAGAGGTTGGAGCACGGAAAATCGTGTTGGAGGGGAATCTGCGGTGGGTATTATGCGGAGAATTCGTATTTTTTGGAGATTAAGAGGTTGGGGGCTAGTAAGAGCATTATCCAGAAGGCTGAGGAGGGGTTATTGAAGTAGTTTATACATTTAGTAAGGGTGAAGCAAAATAGGATGAATTGGAGGGTGTATAAATCTGTAGCAGATGGAAGGATGGGTATGGATCGTCCTACGTCAGGTAGAATTCTAGGGAGGCGGGGTAAAGGTTTTGTATGCAAAGGGCTTGGACATCCAGCAGGTGTGTGTGAGCATGTTAGGAGTGAGTGGAGGCAAGTGGTTTTTATGACTTGACATGCTGTTGGAATGTGAGCACGGTAACATTTATGAAGGGAGTCAGGAAAACCTAGTTTCCTGAAAAAAAAACACCCACATGCGCACGTGTACATACGTATAAAAACCACAAACAGTACTGTGGTACCTTCTCAAGGTGCTGGCGGACAGTATGATCAACTTACCGGTAAGTGTTCCCTCAAGCATTACCCACTAAAGTTACTAAACCCTTCCAGGGAAGGGGGAAGGGGGGTTAACCTTAATAGTGGTGAAAGAGTCGTGGTTCAACAAATTGGAGCAACCATGTCTTGCCTTGGATCAGTCCCGAGTGTTTCTCGTTCCACAACTTCTCTGTAACCGCTGTGGATTTAGGCTGCGAATAGTAGTAATAGGAGTAATAATAATAATAATAATAATAATAATAATAATAATAATAATAATAATAGCCCCTTAAACTGCCAAGCAACAAGAAGACTATGCTGCAAATGTAGCCGATACATGCCACACCCCTCACAACTGATAAAATCATTGATATGCTTAACCGAGAACTCTCACAGGACGAGTCGGCCAAAGACCGAAACCTAGCAACTTATTACTGTTTATCTAATTATCTTCTTAAATGTTGAAAGACACAAACCTGTAGTTTGCGTTTGATTTAGTATATGCACATGAAGGATATACAAACCGAGAGATGTCTATCTCTCAGAATATTTATACGTTAGACCCATGTCAGTGTTTTGGTAAATTGCAGCTTTAATGACTTATGCAGGCGATAGGTCTTAATCCTAACATACTAACCAGTAACACCACGTATTTATTAAATCGCTATGACAAGTGTGCTCTGGGAAGCAGTCATGCAAGGCAGCACAGGATGTAGTTAGTGTGTAGTTACTGTGAATTAAGGTAGTGTTTTATGTAAGCTTGCGCCTGCTAAGAGTTTCTGGGATTAGTTTTAAGCTCCAGATGTAATTTTTTTGTGTGCCTTGTCATCTGGAGGGTCGAGCTCTTCTAGAGGTTGAAAAGCAAGACATGTGCAACAGTTAGGTTGCACATGTGTCTTACTGAAGACTGAAGAACGCTACACAGTAGGTTTCTTCAGTCGAATATGGAGGCAGAAGCAGTTGTGATGTATAGACTTTGTAATCAGTAGTACATCACCCTCGAAGACAGTTTTGAGGTTGACAGTAATTCAGTCTGAAGGGTTATGCTTCATAGTCTGGAATAGTGTGAAGCTGAAGAAACAGTATGGAGACTTGTATACTGTAAAGGTGAGGGGGGAAAGAGAATCCTGACAGAAGAGTCAGAGCCACTACTAGAAAATGTAATCAGTTAGAGGCAGTGTAGCAAACCTACTAGGTAGGTCCCTATCAAATCCAACCTTTCTCACTCGTAACTAGGGGTCAGCCAATAAAGCTGTCCTCTGTATCAAGATATCTTTGTGTTCCAGTGTCTGACAGTGTACTGTAGGCGAAACGTTTCGGAATAAGATACCTATTGCACATGTGTCATATCAACTTGTCAGTATTATATACCTTTATCACCTACTAGATGTCTTGCCTTTCCTTTCAAGAAAATAACAATACTCAACACCGTTAAATTCGTTAGGCTTAAAACGCATCGACCTTTTGAACACTAAGGTCAAAGAATACTAAAGTTCCTAAATAGGGATTAAAGAAAACGTTTGCATACTGCCCAAATACGTTCCTTTCATGGATATACACTGAGCAATAAACACATCTCTGTATGTATGTATGTATGTAGGGTATGTATGTATGTATGTATGTATATATATATATATATAAATATATATATATATATATATATATATAATAATATATATATAATATATATATATATATATATATTATATTATATATATATATAGGTAGTAGGTTGGGTTGACAGCAACTGCCAGGGAGGTACTCCCGCCCTGCCAAGTGAGTGTAAAAAAAAAACCTGTAATTGTTTTACATGATGGTAGG